ATTCTAGCAAACTTTGCGCATCCTAAGTCAACACTGGCCACGATGCTGTGATCTGTTTTACAAATTCGGGTAGCACAAGGTAATACTGCCTCCGATTACTTCTAAGTAAGTAATTCAACGCGTCTGATCACCAAATTTAGTTTTATTTCAACGGCAAACGATTTGCTTTATCAACATCCTCAACCGGGGACTTGTTTAGTTATCCATTTTTACTTCTACTGTTCTCCAGGATGTCCTCCAGATTCAGTCTTTCATATGACACTGATAATACTTCTACCATGCTCGAACACCACTTATTGTGAGTTATATCAACTAAAGAGAAGTTGTTCAAAATCCACTGCTATCGGCACAGTCTGATTATGATTGACCTCGCTGTCACTCGTCCCGTTAATGCATTATTCAGAATGAAACAGTAAGCAAACTGCTCGTTGGATTCGGTAAGAGTGCATCAGAATGGCACGGAAAAACCTGGTGACTCAATTCGAAAATCCATTCTTTCTCTTCTTCTTTTCTTAGTTTATTTTCTATCATATGATAGAAGTACAATATTTCAGGAAGGGGGTCACGACCAATTAAAAGCTGCCCATGGAAGAAGTGATCGGCTGAGATGGCGCTCGAAGTTTCGAACCCGGAACAGTAAGGTCAGAAGTCCACCAGATTACTGTTTTGCCACTGCCGGTTGTGAAGTATACAAAGCCGTTTAGCATGTCTTCATGGTTCAGCTGATGCAGCACAAGCCGAACAGAGGCGTGGGTGGTCTCCGAGTGTGGTGGGCGTTGGTGGGCGTTGGTCCTGTCCTTGATCCTGCAGTTTAAAGGCCAAACTGGCCGCCTTCTTGCAAGGGGCACAGACCCATTCAGCCCATGGGTTCTGTTTATAAGGAGCAAAGATATCCTTTGCTATTCCTGAACACCTTGGGTGAGCCCATCTCTTGCATACTTCACACTATACCATTTACCACACGTTTTCCGCACTTGGGTGCAAGGCTCGGGTCAGAAACGCGTGTCACATCGAAAACCACAAAAACGAGGGCAAAAACAACTCAAGCGCTCTTTACCCAAACACAAAATACGCACTCTGACACTAGCAGGTAAAGCCCGCTAACACAAAAGAACAAAAAATGACTAGAAGCAAGAAAAGGTCACTTCAAAAACACCGAACACTACTCGGCAATACTACAAGGGAAATAAAAATATTCTCCGGATAAAGCGCACTTTAAATGCAATTATGATACGCTCAGTATTGTGAATTAAACTAGGTTAATTCACAAAACTATTCAAAGACTCAATTTATTGGCGAGAGCACTATGAATCCAAACCCCGCGGCACTCATTTCAGTGGACTAATTACTTCTCAAATAGAGTACTACCCTATTGGAATAAGCTCCCGGAGGAGGTCATGAATACCACAAAAGTGGAGGCTTTTAAAGAAGCAGTAGACCAATGTAAGGCGGCAGTATACCTCGAGTTATTTTAGCCCGTTTTTAGTGTCAGACGCAATTTACTCATTGTTTCCACATTTCTCTGCCAGGGCTGATACTGCACAAAATTTCTGTCCCTCAGAAAAACAACTTCACGCAGTTTTGGGAGCTGCGCCGACAACACAACTATCTGGACACACGACTGGCTCTAGCCACACCAAGTCATGTGCAAGCTAACTGAAGGTCACCACAGTACTTTGCGCATTTATGAACTAGCGATGTTTTATCACGTATTTGTATGCAGCAAAGATGGTTTCTGATTTATATGAAAAGTCGAGGATTAAAACGCTCTCTGGTGAGTTGATAAGTAAAATCACTTTTTAGGGAAAAGATCAGCGGTGCTTTTAGTTGGGATCTGTTCATGAGTAACATTGCTTGGATGACGTAATCAAATTTGTGTTCTCCAGTGGTAAAACTGGTGAAGTAGATTACTTAGTGTAATATGTTCATAACTGCAGGCTGAGCCTCTTAGAATTGTTAACATGACCCCCTGCAATCGTACTGATAGTGAGCGTGGGAGGCTCGCCCACTAGTTCACAGCTTCCCAGGCAGCACAAGGGGACACTCGACCGTCACCTGAGTGTCCCCTAGGGGACGGTCGCAGGAAAGCAGTGCAATGCCCCCAAAAATAACTTTAAACTATGTAAAAACCGGAGAATCCGTCACAAATGCAAAAGATTTCGAACGAGAGTCTCTGTTAAGCCACATTTCCGATTATTTAGTAGCTTGGTCCCCATTGGATTCAGATACAGAAATCTCTAGAATCGTGAATGCCTGAGAATTCTGAACCTAATATTATATGTTAAAAAACCATAATAAGAAAATTTTTTGGCATTTACTGTCCATGTTATAGCGTATTATAAATTTTAATGTCTTGTTTGTTTTAATGCATTCCCATCATGGCGGCCAGTTTTTGGCGGTGGCCGGTTTATGTCGCCTCTGAGACTTCACTGCTAGACATTGCGCTGCGTGTGGTCGGTTTATAACGTTCTTCGGACGGTAAATCCCATATATTTTTACTTGTCTCTTCGTCCTTAGATGAAAAAGATGCACCCAAAATTGCGTGGCTTTTCCAGAACTACAATATGGAGGCGCAAGAAGCTGATCTCAGTTCGCAGGGTTGTTGGGGGCGATTTCAACTCGTCCCTCATATGCGATGATGGTGTAGAAAGTTAGCTGATATGAAGTTCGTTACAAATTCCCAGGCAGTTGTTCCGTTTCAACGAACAACGAGTCCGATGATTTAATTGATGACATCGATGGTCCTGAAGAATCGAATGCCTCATCGACAGCAGTTGAGCAGCGACAAGTCACAGCTGCTACAACCTCTACCGCTGTTAGGTAATGCACACTGGATTTCTAAATGTGGGTAGTTGTGAGAACACGATGAGGGATAACACGTACATACCAGAGGAGTGGGAGTCAACTTTTTTGGCTGCGACTACCTCCACGAAAGGTAAGCTTTCAGGTGATCAGCAGTGTGTGCAACAGAATCATTATTTATAGATGGAGAAGTGAAATTTACAACACCGGCCAAAATGATAACTGCCCTCACAGAAGGTATGTGAATTAATAAACCTAATTTTTCCAGCCGTTCCTTCGGCCAAGGATGTTGTGAGGCAGGCTGCTATACAAATGAAATCATCAATGGCCGACTTGCGGATTTTATTACGAGCTCTGAGACAGTTGAAGCTCGACTTGCCATTGGATCCGAGGTCGTTGTTGGGGACGCCTAGGAGAATCCAAAAGAAAAATGTTGGCGACGGCAGATACGTACATTTTGGGCTAAGTGAAACCTTGCAACGAGCCCTTGAGTGTAGACCTCTCGCACCGGACAGCTGCGTTTATATCCAGTTGCACATCGATGGTATGAGCTTGTTTCGTGGCTCATCGCACCAGTTGTGGCCCATATTGTGTCGCCTCCTGGACCCTACGTCGCGAGTTTTTATCGTTGGTCTATATTCTGGAATGTCCAAACCTGCCGACGTTCATCGATATTTGGAAGACTTGATACAGGAATTGGCGTCATTATTATCCCATGGCATCATTATTCGTGGAAGTGGTGTTCATTGCAGAATTGTGTTGCGGAGTGTTGTGGCAGATAATCCAGCCAAGGCAATGCTTAAGCAGGTTAAGCATCATTCTGGGTTATACAGCTGCCACAGATGCACACAACGCGGCTATTGTGTCCATCGCCGTCTCATTTTCCCTTCAACCACGGGAAGATTACGCAATGACAATGACTTTCGAAATCGTCGCCAACGTAGTCATCATACTGGAAGTTCCCCGTTCGAAGTACTACCGGTGGATATGATAGACCTGTTTCCAAACGACTACATGCACAGTGTCTGTCTTGGAATAATGCGACGATTAATCGGTCTTTGGCGTAAATCTCGTTCTGGACGTAGACCGATTTTGGATTTTAATGGTGTACGACAGGTAAACGAACACTTGAGGACTATAGAGAAACATATGACGTGTGAATTTCCCCGCGTGTGTCGAACGCTTGAGGACATTGAATATTGGAAGGCAACAGAGTACAGGCAATGCCTGTTATATCTCGGACCCGTGGTATTCAAGAAAGTATTGCCGGCGGATCATTACAGGAACTTCATGTGTTTCTCTCTATTCACATACATTTTGTGTAGCACCAAGTGGTCTCCCCACTACTTGGACTATATTGAACGCCAGTTGGCCCGGGTTGTCCAGAAATTCATGATGTTGTACGGGGAAGAAGAGGTAGTATTCAACGTGCACAGTTGGCTGCACATCGGTGCTGATGTGCGGATTCACGGGCCATTGGATAACTTCTCAGCTTTTCCGTTTGAGTCATACATGCAGATCATTCGCAGTTGTGTGACCAGTCGACACATGATTGCTGAACAAGTGTTTCGTCGCACTCAGGAACGATGTGCTGAGGCCAAACTGTACACGGATGTAAGATTCTGGGACAACACTTTCTCCGGGCCCGTAAGGCGTAGGGGTCTGAATGGTCAATTGATGGACATTGGTTCAACAATTTACAGCAATGAAACCCCAAATAACTGTGCACTGATCAACCGCAGACCGGCCGTCATCCAAAGAGTGGAAGGCGCGCTATTGCATGCTCATCTATTTGAACACTGTGACGAATTCTTCGACTACCCAATTCCCTCTGGACATTTGGGCATATTCCTTTGTCACAGTTTGTCCGAGAGCACGGTCTGCTACGGTCTAAGTGAGGTCATGTGCAAAGGTTTATTGCTACCTTACGGTGAAAAGTGGGTGTTTTATCCCATATTGCACACATGGGCGATATAATGGTAATTCTATGAAGGTGTTCTGTTTATATTCCATTTCAGATGTTTGTCGTTGTGGAGTTCTTAGTTGATAATTCCGTTGCTATTGTTAATGAAAAGTGGATGGTTGGCCACAGAAAGGTTAGGTGGCCTCGTTGCCCTACCGCCAGAGTCCAGAAGCTCGTTCGTGAGGGCCAGTCACCACCACCTATCACTTCCGTTTACGATGTCAAGGTGCATAAAATGTTCGGTAAGTTCCTGATCAGTGTTCGTAACTTGCAGATGCATTCGACGATGCTATGCGTTGTCAAAGACTTCTCGAAGAATTGTCGGAACTACCATCTTCCGACGCTACAGCTGCGATGGATTTCTGTGCTAAAAGGAAAAGGTATGTGAACTTACGTTGACAGAATACCTTCTTCAGGAAACCGAAACACTTCTCAGATACCAGTTCCGACGAGGAACCCAAGCGACGGAAAACAGTACCAGTTGACATTGATCTCTCGCCACCTCCGGTTCTCGAAGATATGTCCACCGCAACATCTCCGAAACGGAGTCAACCGGAGATAACTGCTAATGTCAGCTGTCTTTGGGGTCCAGTAGTCACCACGTACGTTTTTATCTATTTTTATAACGTGTTCAGATCCCAAGTCACCACTCACTCTATTATACCAGCAACATCAACCCCCATTCGAGACACTGGGAGGCACTTAGTACAGTACGTGCATTTTTAAAATAGATTGTCACCTTTTCTAAATTTAGGAAAACGGAAACAATAACAAAGGTGAAAAACACAACAGATAGAGTTTCGGAACACGTTACTTATGGAAAAACTTTGGTTGGTATGTCTAACTTCGGATGTTACGTTCATTGATTACAGCTATGGTTAATGATCTAACCAATCGGGTTGTGGAACTGCAAAAAACAATGGAGGACGTCAAGTCCAAACTGTGCACGTTGGAACACGTTTCCGGTGCATCCGTACAGGTCATGCATTGCTCTATTCCTGTGCGAAACGCATGGGAGTTCAAAAGGTTGAATGAAAAATTAGAAGAAGAAACTTTCTACGAACAAATGGTAATTTATATTGTTCATAATTTTCTGACTAGCAGCTGAATTTCCTTATTGCAACGGGAACGCGCACAGTTGGGGAGTGTGTACGTCAGATAATGCGTACACTGATCGCCGATTGTTTTTTGCATAAATTAAACTGGCGCGGTGTCCACGGTCGTCAGTCATTTGCCAATACAAAAGTCTGTAGAATTACTGTCGGTGAGTATGCCGTTCCGTGTTATCCTATTCTTCATTCGTAGACGCAGTAACTAGACACAATTTTCCCGGAGTTACAACAATTTTTATACACGAAAAGATCCAACGTTGGATTCAAAGGTGCAGACCGACTGAGGTTTCTAGCACCGAATCGCCATTTCAGGACGTGGCTGTCCAAACCGACAGTGTTGAGGTCAGTTTTGGCTGGGTCATCGTTTATATATTATGTATTGCTGAACCCTCTCATAAGCCGATTTCTAACGTTAACAATTATAACGACATTTATTACTGCACCGATTCAACAAGTATCTCTTTTTCTTTGTTCCAGGTACTGGAAAGTTCACGAAAATGGACCATGGATGGATGTTGATTGCTCGCTGACCAGCCCAGTGTACACAGATTTATAAATAGCTAAATATATAATTATCACCTTTGAAACCTGTATTTTATTTGAACTCCCGGGGATTGATTCCGCTAAATGTTGTATGCGGAGTTATGGTTAAGCTTACTGTAAGATGATCGTGCTTATGCGCTTGCGCTGACCTTCGGCTGTTCAGTAGATTACCAGTATATTATTTAGTATGTACGTATTTCGGTGTTGTAGTTAGTGTTACAAATTTCATGGTGTCAGGGGAGTCCGTTTAGATAAGCTTTCGAGGCCGTCACCTGGGTGTTCCCTGACCGTCACCTGAGTGTCCCTGACCGTCACCTGAGTGTCCCCTGACCGTCACCTGAGTGTCCCCTGACCGTCACCTGAGTGTCCCCTGACCGTCACCTGAGTGTCCCTGACCGTCACCTGAGTGTCCCCTGACCGTCACCTGAGTGTCCCTGACCGTCACCTGAGTGTCCCCTGACCGTCACCTGAGTGTTCCTTTTTTGTTTCAAAGGGGACACTCAGGTGACGGTCGGAGGACACTCAGGGGACGGCCAGGGGACACTCAGGTGACGTTCAGGTGACGCTCAGGTGACGGTCGTGCTGCTTGGGTTTCTACAAGCTCGCGATTAATCAGCGAGGTATCCGGCCCCGTGTCCAAAAATGCATCGACCCACCTCAGTCCTTTAGGTGTCACGATTCCGACAGGTACGATGCCTAATCTTGCAGATTTGAAATCATCATGTCCCGCTGAACAGACAATTCTGCGTTCATCCTGCTGAATAGGCCTATTGTTAAGAGGGCCATGTAGTAACGAGTGATTAGTACCCAAGCATCCGTCCTGGTTACATTTCACTATAAAGCTGCATTCAGAGGCTCGATGAGAGTTGTTCAAACACATAAAGCGTGAGCCAATCTTTTTTACTGCGCACCACCGGTCGGGAACACTCATCCCATGAAAGGTCGGAAAATCTGGTAACCGATGCAGGGAGTTGCACAGCTTGCACTCAGTTGACCTCTCGGGTTCTCGAATTATCATGTGTGTGTTAGCCAAAGACTGAATTCGGTTACAGTCCTTACCTGCAATTTGAGCAGATGTTGGTTCCGTTCGCGCCAGCCTGCAACTTTCGCGTACGATTTGTCCAAATCGGCTGTTGGCGATACGGGATTGACGACCTATGAACCCCGTCAAGTCGTTGAATGTAGGTCCCCGCTCAAGCATATTTATTTTTTCAGCTTCCTCTGCCCATCGGCTCTGTAAATCAATAGATAGACACTGGACAATGCATTCCTGTGTATGCAATGCATTCAGATCAAACTGGTATCCTAAGTGCTCCAGTGCTATACTGCAATTCTGCATTTTCATCACCAAATATGACAGTAATTCGGCCTTGCCCTCAGTGTTTTTGCCCCCAATAAAACACTATCAATCAGGCTTCTAGCCACCTTGAATGGTTGTCCAAACAAATTTTTCAGGATTTTGCGTACTCTGATGTACCCTATTGGTGGATCAAGCATAGCGCAGCCTTCGATAGCACTTTTGGCCCTCCCACGACAGTAATGTAATAAATACATAGGACAGCTCCACTCTCGGCAGGTCGAATGCCAACACCTCAGTGGTTTCAGGCTGTCTCAAGGGTTTATATTCGTCGATCACAGTGCCGTTTCGATGTTGACATCGTGAACTACATGGACTCTTTGCTGGCTCTCTGAGACCAGTTCCTTGTTTAGGAGGCTCTGCTTCCCTTCTGGCTAACCGCAGCTCGTTCTCTAATTCTATCACTCTCATTCTATAAGTACTTATGTCGGCAAACTTATCGCGGTTAGAGATATATGACCTAGCACTGACAGAACTAGTAAACTTAGCATTATCTAGAGAATCAATAACACCCAAACCATCCCCAGAGACTTGTCGAGTTAATTCCTATTGTCTCAAAAGGTTCTTGCTTCCTCGTCTGGGCATTTCCAATGAGTTTCCTTGTCCAGGTTCCACTTGAGTACTGTAAGTCAATTCTCGCAAATCGAGCAACGCGTAGCCAATTCAAACGAATCCCAAGACCAGAACAAGATTGATTCGTAGTTTCTACGGTACTAAATTGAAATTCACAAGGGATGCAAGTATGTACAAACCTCAAGTATGCGGCCAAATAGACTTCACAGTAAAGCCCAAAGGTCCGAAGCTCCGTGGCTCAAGCACGACAGTCAGAAACGGTTCAATGCCAGATTCAAATGCCTCATATGGATAAACAAACGTGAAAAGGTGTGGTGTATGAGCGAGCTTTTCAAGGTAATGTTAAACATAGTCAACTTTACAAAGCACGTATAACATTTGGAAGAATTTTCAGTATTTTCTCTTTTCATACATCCCGCATACCGATGGATCTATGATGTCCGCCAACGGCTTGACGGTAGCTGGATGAATGCCATCTGGGCCCGCTAACTTGTGGCTGTTTAGCTCCTGTAGGTACTTAGGCACGATTTACTCTGAGAGGTCTAGCCCGTTAAACTGAGGAGGAGGATGCACCAGAGTCATATCTACTCGTACCCCACTATCCATTCTATGTACACCACCAAAGCATTCCCCCAGGGCGTCTGCTTTGCTCTGGTCAGCAATGACAATACCATAGTCTCTAGTGGATAGCGGACCTACGGCATTTCTTGTTGAGCCTTTAGACTGTACATAGCCGTAGACATTTTTGGCTGTTGTCTTACAGACTGGGCCAATCTTAGCCCAAATTCCCGCTTGGAAGTTCCCAAAAGGCTTACAGTCCCGTTTCTCAGCTTTGTATAGCGGTTCGAGGCTAGCTGACTGCCGGAAGCTTTGTACTGGTTCCAGCAGCTGTTTCTACGTCTGATGGCCTTGGCTATTGCAGCCTTCCACCACATGGGTTTGCCCTCCCCACTCATTCATTTTAAGGGCGCGAACTCTTCCTGCAGGGCAGTCAGGGATCCCTTTATGGTCTGCCAGCGCTCCTCAACAAAAGCCTCCCCTGTCGTGTCCCAGGTAAAACCCGTCACCCTATTACAAAGCCTATCTATTTCCATACTACCAAAGTGTCTGACCAGCCTTGAAGGTACCTTGGATTGCCGCATGCATAGGACTATTTTGACACACACGTGGTCACTCTTGCCCAGCGGTGCACAATAATGCAGTCCAGACTAATCGTTTGGGAAGTTCGTTATAGCTAGATCCAGCAAGGATGGAAAGCATCCAGTTGATCATGCACCTGGCATGCCTCGGGCTTCTCCGAAATAAACCTTTGTCATCATTATTATTATATCTGGTATTTTCCCTAATATGCTGGTGCAGCCCATTGGCATGCAGCCATTCTAAGTAGGTTTGCTCCTCCGGTCCCGGCACGCAGACCTCAGCCACCCAGTCTATGTGCGGGAGGTTGAAGTCACCCACTATGAGGGTCTTTTGTGCGTCCTTAACCAGTTCAGTCAAAGTCCGCAGTAAACAACCGTCATCTTCGTGGTTAGTGCTTGGTGCCCTGTAGACACAAACAACGTTAACCCTTCCGCCTGGAAGGATGATCGTAACGGTGCATAACTGGATATTGCGAGTGCACACCTTGGTCTGAGACTCCAGGTGGTTTGTACCTGACCTAACGAGGATGGCTACTCCACCATCAAGACTATCCTGTTCTCGATCCTGCCTATAGACTGCAAAACCGTTACTCATTAGGCCTGGCACATGGTCTTCTTCAGAAAGCCAAGTTTCCGTGACGGCAATTATTGGCTCTTTCTGCTCGCCGGCGGTTTTGGCGAGTTCCGCCCATTTGTTTCTAATAGTACACGCGTTAGTATATAACACCACCATGTTTGCTCAGTCGCCTAGCTGTCTCTTGTTATTCATTCCTTTCAGTTTCTCAGGCGCAACGCCTGAGATATTGACATGTTTTTTGCATCGGATGTCCCCAATGGTGTGCATGAAGCCGGCTGACGATCAAGAATTTCCGACGACTCCCAATCCATCTCCATAGGAGTTGCCACAACATCCATACTGGCAGGGGTTGCACTGCTGTCTATCTTCGGAGAGTACTGCCAATTTTCGTCCTCCAGCGCGTCTTCAATTACAACCATTTGCAACCCCACACGTGACCTCTTTACTATTGTCGGGGTCAGGGCCTGAGAGCAAAGTACGGCATTCCGCTGGACGTTTTGGGAGCTAGTGAGAAACCATCCTCGTTAGGTCAGGTACAAACCACCTGGAGTCTCAGACCAAGGTGTGCACTCGCAATATCCAGTTATGCACCGTTACGATCATCCTTCCAGGCGGAAGGGTTAACGTTGTTTGTGTCTACAGGGCACCAAGCACTAACCACGAAGATGACGGTTGTTTACTGCGGACTTTGACTGAACTGGTTAAGGACGCACAAAAGACCCTCATAGTGGGTGACTTCAACCTCCCGCACATAGACTGGGTGGCTGAGGTCTGCGTGCCGGGACCGGAGGAGCAAACCTACTTAGAATGGCTGCATGCCAATGGGCTGCACCAGCATATTAGAGAAAATACCAGATATAATAATAATGATGACAAAGGTTTATTTCGGAGAAGCCCGAGGCATGCCAGGTGCATGATCAACTGGATGCTTTCCATCCTTGCTGGATCTAGCTATAACGAACTTCCCAAACGATTAGTCTGGACTGCATTATTGTGCACCGCTGGGCAAGAGTGACCACGTGTGTGTCAAAATAGTCCTATGCATGCGGCAATCCAAGGTACCTTCAAGGCTGGTCAGACACTTTGGTAGTATGGAAATAGATAGGCTTTGTAATAGGGTGACGGGTTTTACCTGGGACACGACAGGGGAGGCTTTTGTTGAGGAGCGCTGGCAGACCATAAAGGGATCCCTGACTGCCCTGCAGGAAGAGTTCGCGCCCTTAAAATGAATGAGTGGGGAGGGCAAACCCATGTGGTGGAAGGCTGCAATAGCCAAGGCCATCAGACGTAGAAACAGCTGCTGGAACCAGTACAAAGCTTCCGGCAGTCA